TCGGAAGAAGAATCAACTTGCGAAGATTTAATTCCAATTTCCGGAGAATTTCAAAGGTATCAAAGTCGGCATAAGGTTGATAGAAGAGATATCGGGTAGGCGGTTATGCTCGTTCGCGCGTAATTGGAACGGAGCAGACCTTCGAAGAGTTAAATAGTTTCACGGCTGTAACAGCGTCGGGTTTAATAAATCCGTACTAACAATTTAATGTCTCTATTGTGGCCGCGACGACCGACGGTACCGGCAACTGAACTTGATTAGGTTAATACGAAAGGGGACCAGATTTCTTCGCTTCCGCCCTTTAAATTCAATTACCAGACTGTGGTCCGCCAGTTAAAACATCGTATATCAGTTTTGTCCGGAGGAAGTACGATCCATGATAAGCCGACGAAATCAATTATCCCTTAGAAATCGTTGTCTCGAGTTTTGATCATTCTTTGCAAATTTTTTTTTAAAAACTTAAATTGTAATTTTTTCACGACGAAGATCGAGATCGAGTAAAATTCTTGTACTATTTATTGGTTTGAATAGAAGGCAGTGTAATTGGTAAATTTTGGAAGAAGTTAAGAAGAAAATTAAAGATGCGATTAAAGAATATCAAAATTAATAATTGTTTTAAATGATAATTATCGATGGTAATTAATAGTAATTGGTATAGATAATGTTTATAGTTATTAACAGTGACGAAAATTTTATTGGTTAAAACTGTTAAAGAACGTTTGATGCATCAATATAATCAATATTTCAAGACTATCAATATTATCGTATATAAAAACGATCAATATACATTGTTAATATTGTTAATATCGAATATTCATAAGAATGTTGAGAATTTTGAAATATATGTTGATGATGTCTGAAAGTTACATTATGAATGGAAATTATTTTTTTAGGTTAAGAATGATCATTATCATACGAGGACTTTATTTCTGGTAAGTCTTTTATATGTAAAATTTATAAATAACTTTAACATAATTAAATTAAATTGTCTACAAAGAGTATTAAAGTAATTTTAAGAATGACTTAAATGATTAATGATAATATCTATAATTACATGGTTACATATCTATAATAGAATATTTTAATTAAAACTCACGTTTTAAAACTCACGTGTATTAAAGCTATGTAATATATGATAGAGAATTAAAAATTCGTGTTCAATATGTAGTTATATATTTTAATATTCATGTATATAAATATTAAGGATTCACGTGTACAAATATACAGTTATGTGTATTAACATATTTATTCATATACGAAATGGGTATTGGATTTAATTATTAAATTTTACATAAGGAAAATAAAACGAAAAATTAAGTTTCAAATTATAAATTTTGATATAATTAATAAATTATAATTTCCATAATAATTATACAGATATTAAAAATTATGTACAAGTAAATTCACGTATTAATACGTAACACAAGTACGTGTTTTTTGAAATGTTACATGATCATCTCTTCTGTATCGTTTCGTTTTAGCCAACAGATGGTCTTTTTTTTTATTTTTGATAATTTTCATTCGTAAAAAAAGAAGAAGTTGAGAATGTCATCTGTACACTCACGAGTCATTTGTGTCTCTTCTTGTTACGTGAATTTTCACGCGCTGAACAATATACGATACACGTTGCATTTCGTTAAGGGAGGGGCGAATTTCGTTTACAGAGGAAAAGAAAAGAAAACATGGGTTAACGTGGCCTGTCAAATACGGGCAGGCCAGCAATCGTTTGAAGACAATAGGGCTCGCACAGTGCCACGACAGTCAATGAATTGATATCGTTATTGTAACAACATAATAGACATATTTTCTTATTGAGATTGCAGTCCAACTGTGTATATGTGTAACATGCACGCTGCGTCGGGTTCAGGTTTATGAATGCATTCATTCATGCGAGTCGTGAGTATGTGTTACGCAACTACTACAAACCTCGCGTGTAAGGCTAAGGACCCCGTCTTTTCGTTTGATGATCGCTGAAAATTTGGACTACCTTTGTAACACAGGGCTGTCACTCTTTTCATAATGTGCAATTCAGTTAATATTATTAGCAAAATTTTACACAACTTATATCTAATATATATTATCAATGTTTTTGAAATTTTATAAATTTTAATTAATCTATTATTATATATGCTAAATTTTAATTTATAAATTATCGATTTATTAATATTATGCGTCGATAAATTATTGCGCAAGAGGATTTTATGTGAAAAATAAAATCAAAAATGTGAAATAAAAAGTTATCGTGTAAAAATTATGAAATTTTAAAATTCTAGATCTATAAATGAATATTTAAAAGCACATTTTGCATACAAGGATAAGTAATCGAATTTAAAGTAAAATATTTTTTTTACGTTTATATTTTTTTTTGTGCAATTGATTTCTCTGTTTCATCTATTAATATAATTTCAACCTACCAAAGAAATAATTATCATGATTAGAATCAAATGGAAATCGTTTTATCATTATTTTTAATTCCTCAAAATCATTCCATCAGCTTTAATGCGCTATTTAATGCACTTACGATCACGCTTTGTCATTTGCTCAAATTGACTCCATGGCAAGTTTAATGAAGGATGATTTCTTGGAAGGCATCTATGCACAGTCAAATTTATTGCCGTCATTACAGATCATTGATTCATAATAACAAGAGAAAATAAAAAATAAAAGAGATAGATAGAGTTTAACAGAATCAAAAAAGAGAATTTTTATTGCTCATGCATGTTCAAAATTTAATCATATTTAATAATATTATAAAATAATTATTTAAGTATATAGGTGATAAAAGATAATAATGATGAACAGTAGAAATATAAGGAAAAGAAAAATTTTTATTTTTAATTTATTTTAATTAACACTATATAATAATTGATATAATTTTTATTCCTTCAAAACAAATAATTTTTCTTTCTGAAATTTTTTCTTACAATAAAAAATGTTTATTATATGTAAGTTACTTAATTAAAATTTTAACGAACTAATTTATTTTCTCTGAAAAGATAAAATATTTAAGATAATACACGTATATATATAGATAAATTGGTAAAAATTTATCTTTACGCTTTGATTGTTATACATTATGTATTTATCTGTTTTCGTAATCGTCGTAATCATTTATAATATTAATAAAAAACTTCAACATTTTAAATATGCACAATATACATTTTTAATCATATAAATCAACTTTCACGTGTCAATGATTGCAACTATTTAAATCGAATATTCCTCATTACATTTTGCAAGGTGCATAAATGTATACAAGTTTGCAGAGATAAGCTACTTTCTTCTTTTCCTTGTCGAGTGTAACACGACATCACGAACTTCATTATTATTACATTGAATTGACACAGTTTGGATCAATTAACGTACTGTTTATCTCTTGGCCGGAGAAAGTAACGATTCCGCAATGAACGACACACTTTTAATACAGTTAGTTGCACGTGCAGAAAATTTATGCTTTTTCATGAAAACAAGAACTAAAGGATTAATGTTTTCCTTTGATGTGCGAAGTATGTATTTTTTATATACTTGATAAAAAGAGATATCGTAAAATTATAAAGTTTGTATATAAATAAATTGCTAAAATATGTTATAATATTTAAAATAAAAATGATCGTAAAAATGTGAAAGTTTAGAATTAAAACATAATTTTATCGATAATAAATAAAGATATTTTCAAAAATTATTCTTTAATTATCTTTAATTATAATAATATTATTGTAATGTAAATAATAATAATAATAATAATTAAATAAGTATTCGAAATATTTATTTCATTTTATAAATATATTATATGTATTTTAATTTTATAATGTTATTTATTATTTATTGTCTTTTTAGAATTTTATTGTATTTTTGAACTTGAAATTATTGATTAATAATTTATTATTAAATTTATTAAATTTTATTAATTTGTACATAATTATGACACAAATACAATGATATATATAAAGGAAATATATAAGAAAATATAAAAAGATGAGAAAAAAGACAAGAAGGTGGAATAATGCAGTTCATCTTAAAGCTAAATAAATAACCAATCTGTTGATGAATGATATTAGATAACATTCAACAATTATAACATATAGTATTACTAAAGATCCGATCTAAAAAGAAACGATAGAATTTCCCGCTTTCTCTGATATATACATTTGAGACCAGCAGATGTTATCTTTATCATTCCAATAAAAAAAAACATCTATCAAATTTACCCTTTCCAAGAAAATGATAAAAATTAACAGTGGGATTCGAAATCTTCCAATATAATATTTTTTTTATCACACTTAATATTTTCTATCCTCAGAATTATCTCCTATTCCAACTATTATACGTTTCCTTTTCAATGTTACTACAAAACGAGATATCAACACGTACAATATCAATCTTAGTCGGTATCTACATCTTATATATCTACAGTAATGAAAAAGATGTTTAAGTATATACCTGTATACTACGTTTCTATTCGATCCAACAGTAAGAAATATAGATAAGCAAATATAGATACTATATCGTTTTGATATTTCACGGTACGTAAAATAAGGAAAGAGAGGAGAAAAAAAAGGAGCGGAATTCGGCGGCATGCGGGGGCGTGCTGGGGGCCGGGTAACGACTTAATAAACCGTTCGGTCGGTAATGGGTTGGGTGTGGGCGCTTGGTCGGTCGCGGGGAGGGGGGCAGGGGCACGTGTATCGCGCGCGGTTGCGGCGCAGCCGCAGTCGCGGTCGCGGTGGCGGCGCGGCGGTTGCAGAGTGGGGGAAGCTGCGCCGGTAGTCAGGTGCGTCGCGTGCCCCCTTCTCCCGGCACGTAGTTAGCTCGTGTTTTGTTTTGAGAAGGCTTAACAGCGTCCGTTCCCACGCTTCCGCACGCTGCCGCCACGGCAAGCGATTTCGAATTCGTTGCACGCCATAGATTTCGCGCTCGAACGTGCCGGTGTCCCGCGCGATCTGTCTACTTGCTGTATACCTCGCGAATAAAACCGCGAACATGGTGATCGCGCCCGTCATGATTCTTGAACCGCGACGCGAAGCGTTTTCATGGGCGGTTTGTCCACCGTGGAAATTGCAAGTCGCCTCGCGGTGGCCTGAGTGGGTTGCGTGGTTTACAGTGAGGTTTGAAAATAACGCGTTCAAGCGGATGAAAGCTGATGAAGATGTCGAAACGAGTAGTTTCGCGGTTTCTTTGGGTGACTTTGGGATTGTTCGAGAAAGGTTTAGGTTAGGATCACGCGGGTTTGCTTAATTGGAATTGTGATTGGACAATCTGAACTTAGCTACGATTGCGCGGGATTGGTTAAGGTTAGTGCACGAAGCGAGTTTTATAACGATGATTTAATGGTTTTTTTTACAGGTGAATAATATTAGTTATATAAATAATTGTCTTTAATATAAATAAAATATGAAGAAGTAATAATCTTTTTATTTTAATAACAATGAATGTTGAAATATGATATGCATATATATTTGCTATAGTCGTTATTATCAATCTTATTACTATTTTTATAATATGAAATTAAATTTAATTGTCAATTTGAAATTATAAAGGATTGTTTGTCACTATACTTAGTAGTAATGTACTAAGTACTAACTTTTGCGAGAGTGTGTACAAGAGATTCGCGCGTGCACGCGGCGCTCGTGCGACACGGCACGCTCTCCCTTATAACAGAGCTACGTTCTTTTACATACAGAGTGGGCCATTGTTTCAGCATTACAATAATCCTGCTCCTGACTTCTTACCTTCTTATTTCCTCTTCTCGTTTTTCTCTTTTGTTCTCTTGTTTTTTGCTTGAGAGCTTACTTCCCGCCTATCCCACACCTTCGCATTACTTTGCATCTCTCCTTTTTTTCACTTTTTTATATTCTTCTAGTATTCTTTCTTCGTCTTAGTAAAACATCTTGTATTTTTTTAAATTTATTATCATTTATTTTATTTCTTATAGTGCAATTAACATAGTTATATTATCATACAATAATAATAAGAAAAAATTGAAATACAACGATTATTTATTTCATAATAATCAATATGATTAATAAAAATATGAATTTATAAACAATATTGAAACTCAATTTTATTATTATTAAAGCAATTTTGCGACATTCTTCTTTTCATCCCATATCTTCATATCTTTATGTTCAAAATAAACTTGGGTCTTCAATCCCAGTTCGATCACCCCATATTCATTTACGTAAACATTCGCAGGGTTCTTATGACACCCTTCCAGAACATTACTCCTGGGTAATATTACACTATAGCCGGGAACAAGAGTGTTCCAAAGAAGCCGGACGTTGGGTTCGAATCGCAATGGACTTCCCACATACTTTCACGCCGCGTACTCGCTCATAAACCGTCTCTCGTTTTCTCGGGCGGGCCGTTGAATATTGTCACGCACCATATTCCCATGTATGCGGCGCAACCTCTCTGGTGGAGAGCGGCGCGTGCATACGGCACGCGTGCTCCCTGGAAATCGACGGTAAACCGGATGTTCCATCAACTCCTATTAAAGCTATGTAGTTTTATACTCGTTCCCGCGTAAATCGTTCAGTGGAAATCCTGGCAAATCCGTGAATATGATTTCCGATCGTTCATCTTTTTTTTTTTCCTTTTCTTATCAAATAATCTTTTGAATAATTCAATTCAATTTAATTTTTATATTAAATTTTAAGGAAAAAGGAATAATTTTATTATTTCTTGATTTAAAATACTATTATAACTATGATTTAATAGTATATTTTGATAAAATCTTATCTATTAAGTAATTGCAATCATATTTTAAAATTCATGTATTCATGTATCTGTAGTACTATATATCATAGAATTGATTAGTTAATATTCATCTAAATTTATTAATCAAAAATATAAAAAGTTTATTTTTCAATTTTTTTCGTCTGTTAAATAATAATCCAATAATATTTGCAGTAATATAAATTTAAGCATATAAAATACTACATCAAATATTATTTTATTTCAACGTAACTATTTTATAATTATTCTTATTATTTTTTTGTTTGAAATATAGTTAAGTGTTTGGATAATTTTAAATAATATCGTATAATAACAATCCTATACGATTCCATAAAATTTCACAAAGTTGTTTGGGAAATTAAACGCATCCCTACAACCCCGTGCATGCGGTCACACGTTGCCATGAAAGTTAGAAGATTCCTACGGTTTTTCGGTTCCCACGAGCGGGGTGCGTCAGGTGGTTAGCGTGGGGTGTATCCTCCTTCTTTCTTTACCCCTCGAAATAGATGTAAACCTCATCGTGAAACCCCTGGCGCCGTCCCTCTACTATTTTCAACACGCAGCATCTACGTGTACGTATCCTACATGCTATGATTTACGAACGAGATTACACTCGTTGACCCAGTGCAACCCATCACGATATTGGGGATGAGGAATTTGGAGAAGAGCTAAGAGCTTTGATTTTGGAATAGAATAATTCAGAAACTATTATAGTTATAGTGAAAATTTTTATTTAACAATCTTATTTATTTATTTGGAATTAGTAAATTAAAATTATTTATTTTAAAAAATCAAAATATATTATTAATTATTCTAGTTAATAACGAAAAATGCAAAGAAATTGCAAAAGAGGGTGAAATTTCAGATTACTTTTGTGAATATTTTGTGTCTTGTTTCGATACAATATATCCTTCTGTAAATAAAAGTTAACGTTAATTTGTCATGAATTAGTTATTTAATATTATTATTTTAATAGTTTCTGTATATAATTGGATAGGGAATTGAGAATTATTTTTATCAATTTGATATGATTTAAAAAGATACACAGGATGAATGAAAAATTATAATACGATTCAAAGTGGTTCGAGACTATAAATCGATTGTGGGGAACGAATTTCTTGGGGCGTGAGTTATTTCATTGGAACCAGTCTTCTTGGTCGATATATTAGATACTATTTCATTTTAAAGATTAATTGTAATGAATTATTTATATCTCGTATGAATTTATAATTTTAACTGGTTTATTTTTACAAATGATAGTTTGAGAAATAATGTAATCCATTATTTTAAATAATATATGAGTTGGATTTATAAATAATCTTAAATTGATGAAGATAATATAATACTTAATAAAATATAATATAATTTATTTATTAGAATATTTTATTTGAAGAAAGATAAAAAATGCACTTGATATTAATTTAATTTTCTGACAAACTGAGGAAACTTTTTAAAATAATTTTTCTTATAATATGTACGAAAGTAAATTTAATTGCAAATAAATTAATAAATTTAATAATTATTGTTAATTATTAAAATATATTAAATAGGAGTTCTGTCAATTGTGAAAGAGGTTTTATTTCGTCTGTAACATTTCGGTTATTCGCAGACACGTTTTTGCCCAAAGAATCGTGTAGCTCCATCGTGGGGGAGCATTCCCACCAGACAACAATTAACATCCAAAGGAACATTTCGACTGAAGTCGTTGTCGGTTCATTCTGCACGCCTTTTTTTCCCTCCTTTCCTATGACGTCGTTGACCTACTTTTTCAATCATTAAAAAGATTTAATATTTCAATATGATCATGTTACGTTTCAAAGCAGACTAAACAAACATTTTAAAATATTTTTATCAACACAGATTCCATTCTCATTTCATTTCATTATAATTTTTAATACATAATTTTTCCCCATGCATTCTATTTCCTCTTACCATAATTAATTTATCATTGCAATACGAAACAATAAATATACATGTATATATAAAACATGACATTGATTTTTCTTATTGATATACAATTTTTCATAAAACATACCAAATATGTGGTTTACAATTAAATTTAAAATTAAATTTCATTTCTTGTTAGAAAAAAAAAAAAGAATAAAACAATTCATAATATAGAATAAAATAAAAAGAAAAAATAAAGAAGCCAGATATCTAACGTTCGATGCAATCAACACTTCCCTCGCAATGCTTAAACATTCCAATACAATCTCCAAACCACTAATTCCGACCAAATGCCACAAATTCCCACTCTCTCTGACAAGAGGAAAAAAAGGAAACAGACGAAGCAATCCTAGCCACGCCATCGCCACGTTTCACCCCCGATCAAACCGTACACCATTCGTTCCTGAAACAGTCTTTCCTTTCTCCATATATATATATACACAAAAAAAAAGAAGATGTGAAAAAAAAAAGGAATCCGTGATAAAGTTTCCCAAGAGGCCAATGACAACGACACCCAACCCCATTTAAGTAGCCTCGATTCGGTTAAGATTCGACATCGGAGGAAGAAGGGAAGAAAAAAAAGTAGAAGAAGAAGGCCATGGCGAGATATACAGAGAAGAGGAATAAAAAAAAAGAAAGAGAGAGAGAGAGAGAGAAAAAAGAAGAAAATAGGGGATAAGGTCGGAGGCACGAGATCCTTCCCACGTCGACGAAACGTGCTGAAAGCGTGCTGCTCGCGTGGCCGTTAGAGCGGCACGGTTGGGGAGGAAAGGAGAGGCCATTGGTGCATCGAGCCGGAATCTTTCTCACGGGCGAGGAGGACGTCAGGTGCAGGACCTCCTTCAGGAAGTACAACGGTTCCTTACAAGGATTCGCGACTTCTGCCTTCCCACGCTCCTCCAGTTGTAACGGCCAGATTCGACTCTTCTCCACCACCCTAACCACTGCACCGTAAAGCCTCTTGGCCATGGTAGGGGCATGTCGAGGTAAGTGAGTTTTTTCGTTCTTGATCTTTGTCATTTTTACTCGTCGTTAATTGGTTAACACGCTGCAAATTGCGGCATGTATTTTATTGATAATTGTAGTTGCAATTAGGGACAGTTATTTTTGTATCTTGTTTCTTTTTTTTTTTTTTCTTAGTGTTGAATTTAACGTTTGAACGGGAGAGATTATTGCACTGCACGTTTTTTTTTTTTTTGTTTTTCATTCACTTAATGCAGGTATTTTAAGCTGAATAATGGCAAAATTTATCATTTATCAAATATTCGAAATGGAAAATTTTTTTATGAAAAATGAAATTCAATTATTATTGCATTTAATGGCTTTTCTTGTTTATTTATTATTTAAAATATATTTTCCACTTGATGAAAGGGGAATACAATTATATATTTTATAAAGATTCTCTGAAGGATTTAATTCTATCAATTTTATATCTTAGTATTATTATAAATAAGGCAATTGAAAATTTATTATCACGAAAAAACTCAATTTTATTTTCCGTAGTGTCAAAAGTTCAATAAACATTTTGATAAAAGAACAATTATTTTTTACATTATCTAGCTTTTATCTTTTATCATTTTATTATATTGTTAAAGAGTTAATTATCAATTTACTTCATTAATTGATACATCTATGAAGCATAATAGCAATTAAAAAATAGTCATTATTACGTTTAAAAAATTTTTATTTCTGCATGAAAATTTTCTTTATGATAATATTTTCTTCACGTTTTTTTTCATCGTCGTTTTTTTTTTTTTTTCTTTTTTTAAAGTTGGTTCATCAAAGTATCGTCGATACAATCGACCAAGTGGGGAAAGAAATTATCCTCCTGTTGATGTTTTTCGAGTCCATTTCGCGTACAACCGCCTTGATGGCGGCGCGAACGGTTATTAATGCGCAAAGTCGCTGATTTCGTGGCGAATTTATACGTTTTTGGAAATTATATTCGGATACGAAGCGGCGAAAAACGATCAATGACAATATGGAAGGTTTTATTTCGAAAATAAAGTGCACCTTTCTTTATAATTTGCTTCATTACCATGTAATTTATGCCCCATTTAAACTACTTTTTTAAATTACAGGGAGATTGCACGTGGTTTACATTGTGCGTCATTTTAATGAGAAGGATTCGATTTATAATTTTTGTTTTAAAGTGTCAGAACATGTTTTCGCGTATTTTATATTTTTAACTTTAATAGCCTTATAAACGTATATTCGGTTTTATTAGTACTTGCAACTTTAATAGATAGTGTTATAAACATTTATACATGTTTAATCTACTGAACAGTTATTTATGGAGAATTTTTAATGGAAAAAAGGTAAGGTTGTTCATTTATCTTTTTGAAATATTTTAAAAGATCTTTATAAATAATTAATGTTCCATGAATTTTTCATCAATGGAATTTTATTTTGTAAAATTTATCGTGTAATCGATTATTCTTGAAATATTTAACGTCTTTTTAATTGATAAAAATTGTTGTTGTTACTGTTATTTATTTTATTTTATATTCGATATATTATTTTGCATTCCGTGTTAAAAAAGAATGAAAAAAAAAAAATGTTTAATTAACATATTATGTATCTTTTGTTTGATAACTTCATTCAAATGATTTATTCGATGTAAAAATTTTCTTTTTAATTTATTTATAAAATAATAAATAATTCACATTTTCATGTGTACATCGTAAACAAGATATCTAAATAATTTTTTCGTATATAAAGTAACGGTATCCGAATATTAATGTGAATAACTGTATTTAATAAGTGATCGAACTTCTCAATTATCTTAATAACAGTTTTTAAGATCGCTTTAAACTATATTCAAATTGACATAACGAAGCTTGAGCATTATTAAAATAAGGAATTTGAGAAATAATCATTAAAATAATATATAAATATCTTATACAGATCACAATATCTTTTCGATAAACTATTTAAAGCAGAAAAGCAGGAATTTCAAAAGAAAAATATAGTTAAGTTTAATAACGAAATAAAAATTAATTGATTCAAATAAAGTCGTAGATAATCTTATATATATATATAACCTCTTTACATCAAATTATTTTTTATTTGAATAAATTAACTCAAATAAAAAATTGTTTGAAAATAAAGTTACTTCTTTATCATTTATACAATTCCAACATTCACAACTTCATTTTTATCTATTCCGACTCTGCATCACGTCACTCTATACCTACTCACTCTTCGCAATATGTATGCTCTCGACATCTCGTCAAGTATAGCACACATATGCGCGAGAAAACCTAGCGAACGATGAAAGAAACGCATAATAGGTCCCCCGATATCGAAATAGCGCCAACAATAAGCTCTAGAGCATAATGGAGGGCAACAGTTGCATCGCGATTCCTTCGCCATGGGAAAAATACTCGGCGGTACACCCGAATTCGAACACCTGGATTTTCCTCAAATGAAAGGGCCACGCGACTTCGGGCACGCAGATCACGCCTTGAAGAGTCAAGTAGCTCGTTACCGGATCGTGGGAATCTGCCAAGAGCTGGATCTGAAATTCAACTCACGGAGCCACCATACGGATTTTCAGATTCGTCCCACTTGTTATCCACGCGACCGCCACGCTCGCTGCCGACCGTTTGTGTAACTTACATCCGTTAGCCCTGCATCGAAAGAGTAAACAGATGTGTCCATTAACCGTTTTACAAACCGCAAACCTGAAAATTGAAGAAGGTTGTACGTGCAACGGATGGATATTAGAATCGGACGTGGATATTCGGTAGGTGGAACGTGGGCCAGCGTTTTAAATGGGTGAGAAAGGAGGCGGTCGGTCGTCAATTTTGAGGTTAAGGAAAATGGGGATTGGTAAAAAGCTGATGTCAGGTTAAGTGGAAAGTTCTGTTGTTTCTTCATTTTACAGATAAAATGTTTTAATCGAACTTTAACGTTAAATGAATTGTTATTATAGATTTTTATAATTTTAAAATATATTATGTTTTTCTTTGTTAGAAAATAGGTTTTGATGATATATCTTGTCAATAAAACGAATTTAAATAGATTTGAAACTTGATGATTATCATTATCAGAAATGCATTTAAAATGAATTTTTCTAGGAAACGACTATGACAAGTCTGTCATAAGATAATATTATTTTTCTTCAGTTTCATATATATATATATATATAGAGCTTTTTGCAAAATGGCAGATTGTGTGGTGGAATAATCAAAAGGAGATATCTGGAATGCCGGCACGTACTACCACGTGTCAGCCACGCTTCACGCGAGAGAAACAAGTTTGCTGTGTAATCCACGTGGCGTTTCTGCAGCTCGTACACTTACTTGCATATCTCGTTTTCTCGATTGTGACGTTATCGTTTATTTTCTTCCAACTCGTGATGAATTTTATAATTTTATAAAATAATTAAGAAGCTGAAAGGAAATTTAATATAAACGAAAAACATATAACTTGAGGAAGTTAACTTATAATTACTATAATTTTTACCAAATATTTATAATTTTTATAATTTTAATTTTTACTGAAGAAATATAATTATACGAATAGAGATTGACTAATCGTGTCTTATCCTAAAAAAAAAAAAATTAATAAAAATATCTTCATCGTATTCTTTGTTATAAATAACAATTTTTGTAATGCATTTGTGCATCACTTCTCAAAACATATATATATATATCAGAAAATATTTTTCAACTTAAGTCCTCGGCTACTAATTTACATTAAAGATACTTAAACCATCGAATTCATCCGTGCTCTTCCATACGACATACGACATACGGAACCTAGCCCATCATCAGTTCATTCACCACGTTCCGATCAAACGTCTTCAGATTTATCGAAGAACGAAAGATTCAAGGAAAATCTATATGCGATTCAGGTGTCGTCTACAGTTCGAGGGACTCGTAAATTAACAACTGCCCGTGAAGTACATGTCTAAAAGCGTCTAAATTCTTGGAATTTCTTCAGGCAATTAAACGATGATTAGAAGAGAAATTGATTTATCAATCCATTCTTGTTCACATCAATAATATTTCTACGTCCTCGAAGAAAACAATTAGGGAAGAGATTATGAGAAATTCTCAATATCTTGATAACCTAAAATTGTTTAATTCGCACTGGAAGATTTTTTCTTTTCTTATTCTGAAGCGAAATGAAAAATCAATTCAAATTATTTCAAATAATATACTCAAATCCAGCAACTTAACTCGATATCAAAATTCAACATTATTTCCAAATCTCCAATAATTCATATTTTCTCAATTAATTCTCAATCTCAATTAATTCATATTTTCAAATTGCTCGAATCAAACCTGCTCAAAATTAAAACGAGTGAAAAGGAGGCTCGAACGCTCTACATCATGCTCGTCCCTCCGCACGCGACCGTATCAGCATCCATCTCCTCGTCTGTTGACGCGTGGATATATAAGCGGCGGAGGCTAGGGATCAGAGTTGCCCTCGTGGGAACGGAGCGGCCGTCCGCGGTGAAGCGTTTCAGGAAGCTCTCTGTGTTCCGCTCCCGCGGTCACCAGGGCGTCCTTAACAGCTCCTCTTCTCGCTCGAGTCGCCTCGACGACGCCCACGCTCCAATCGGCTTCCTGATCGCCCGACACGGGGAAAATGGGATCTGTCCTCCTCCTCCTCCTCCTCCTCCTCCTCCTCTGCTCGTGTTGCTAATGGCATTGCGCTTGGACGGTTTCGTACACGACGCACGTTAATTAGCTTCTGCTTGCCCGTTGATCGTATCGCTTGCATTGCGTTGTATCGAGTCGAGTTCGAATCGTAGAGAGACATTTTATGGTAGGAGGAATTAGTGGTAAGTGTCGAGAGGATTGAGCAAATTTTATTTGAGATTGAAATGAGCATTTGAAATGTCGTTAATGCCGAGTTAACTACAGGATTGGACGTTTTATGGTGTGCAGGAGAAATTAGTTGTTAGAGATATATATATATGTGTGTGTGTGTGTGTGTGTATAGTTTGTAAGAGAAATTAGCAGTACAATGT